TCTTTTCCTTTTCTTACCTACCTTCTTCCTGGGAATAGTATATTTTTTTGTTCTTTATTTTTTATGTGGTTCTAGCCAGTTTTTTCCCAGCAGTTCAAGACCCAGCACTTCATTATTCCCTGTCCTGCCAGTTTGTTGGGTGGTAGTTTGATTGCCATTGATAAATCTGCCCAATGTAATGTTATGCTCCGAACTCATGCATCTCATTGGTACCACTATGTATCCTGCTTCCCTTCCACCCCTGCAATTTATAAAATGGGATAATAATCCCCACCTTTTCTGAGATTCTTTGTAAGAGTGTCAAAGATTTGAAAGTCATCTAGTGGAAGGTACTATAAATGCCTTAAGAAACACTATAATTTCATAGATTTTCCCCCCAAAAGTACATTTTAATTAACTCGATTAAGACAGAATTTGCATTCAATAAAATGGAACCATTTTATCATTTTAAAAAAGATTTTATTTATTTACTTGACAGAGAGAGACACAGCAAGAGAGGGAACACGAGCAGAGGGAGAGGGAGAAGCAGGCTCCCTGGGGAGCAGAGAGCCTGATGGTGGGGCTTGATCCCAAGACCCTGGGATCACAACCTGAGCAGAAGGCAGACGCTTAACGACTGAGCCACCCAGGCGCCCAAAATGGAACCATTTTAAGTATACAGTTTGCATTTTGACAAATATATACAGTCATGTGATGACCACGCCATCAACATGTAGAACTTTGCTATTATCCCAGAAAGTTCCTTTAGTGCTCTTTGCATTCATTCCCCACCACGCCCCCGCCCCAGAAAACCCCTATTTTGCTGTCACTATAGGTTATCTTTGCTGTTCTGGAATTTCATGTAAATGTCCTTAACCAGGTTTCAGCATCCATTCACGGTTGGAGCACCTGGGTGGCTCATTGGGTTAAGTGGCTGCCTTGGGCTCAGGTCATGATCCCAGTGTCCTGCTCAGTGGGAGTCTCCTCCCTTTCTCTCTGTCCCTCCCTGTGCTCAGGTATGTGCTTTCTCTCTTTCCTCTCTCTCTCTAAAGTAAGTAAAATCTTTAAAAAAAAAGAGAGATTCATTCACTGTTGTTGTCTGTATGAGTAGTTTGTTACTTTTTATTGCTGAGTGATGAATTTGAGTAATGTCATATTACATGGCTATAAGGGGATTTCTTTATCCATTTTTCTATTGATGAACATGTGATTTGTTTCTAGTTTCTGGCTATTGTGAATAAAGCTGCTAGGAACTTGATGTGGAACTTTGAGTAGACTTATGTTTTCATTTCTCTTGGGTAAACACCTTGGAGTGGGAGGACTGGGTCATATGGCTGGTAGGTGTGTGTTTAGCTTTTTAAGAAACTGCCAAATTGTCTTCCAAAGTGGCTGTATAAATTTACCTTCTGTCTAGCAGTGTATGAGGGTTCTAGTTGCTCCATATCCTCACCAACGCTAGGAGGAGTACTTTTTTGCCACTCGTTGTATATGCTATCTTGTCCTTTGAATTTACATTTTCCTAATGACTAATGATATTGACAACATCTCATGGAGTTACTTGCCGGCTGTGTATCTTTGGTGAAGTACTTGTTCGAAACTTTTGCCCGTTTTTAAAAATTGGGTTGTTTATTTTTTTTAATGTTGAGTTTTGAGAATTCTTTGTATATTCCAGACACGAGTCATTTATCAGATAACTGCTTTGCAAAGATTTTCTTCCATTCTGTGGCTTATCTTTTCTTCCCCTCGAAAGTGTCTTTTGAGAGCAAGAACTTTTATTTTGAATTCCAGTTTATCCACTTGCTCTTTTATTGAACTGTGCTTTTGGCATTTAGTCTTCATCCTGTCTTTTCATTTTTTAAAGTAATAAAGTCGTTTGGAATTTATCGGAGCAAGGCAAGAAGTCAAACCATATTTCACTTTTATGTTGGGTAAGAATCACTAGAGACAAATTATTTTCTATGGGATTGGTTCCTGAATTTTCTCAAGCACAAGTTTTCTAGCAATTAGAAGTCAAATGCAGTGCAGATAGATTAATAATATTTGGGTGTTTCCAGAGAACTCAGTTTGTACGCTGTTTAGTTGCTAATTACCCATCCTTTTCTGTGAAAGAACTTAGGGTCTATTTTAAGGTGCCTTTTAAAAAAAGGGGCTGTTGTAGGTATAAGAGTCCACAAATAAAGATCTGTGTAGTAGCTGATAATCATAAAGTATAAAGTTCCTTAAGAGAACAGGCTCAGTCATACTGTTAATCCTAATTTGTGGCACTGCTTATCAGTAGAAAAGAAATGTAAGTTATTGTTAAGTACTAACCTACTACTGTGGGTAGAATGCCTTGTAGTTGAATTGGAAGAGTGGTCAATCTATCTTTGTTACCCAGGTTTGAGAGTCAGTAATCTTCAAGATTGGAGAAAAAGGCATTACGATCAGGAGGCAGTAAATAGTATGATGTTTCCATTTAAAATACTTTAAGAGATTGGGGCGCCTGGGTGTCTCAGTTGTTAAGTGTCTGCCTTGGGCTTGGATCATGATCCCAGGGTTCTGGGATTGAGCCCCGAATTAGGTTCCTTGCTCAGCAGGGGGTCTGCTTCTGCCTCTCCTCTGCCTGCATGTGCTCTCTCTATGTCTCTGTCAAGTAAATAAATTAAAACAAAACAAAACAAAACAAAACAAAACACTTCTTTTAAAAAAATATTTTAAGAGATAATGACAAAGGCATAAGGTTATATAATTTTTGGTGTCTCAGATGATAATGAAGTATGTTATAAATTAGATAAAAGAAGCACTCTGAGTTGTTTAAAACTTTTCTTGGTAGTTACTGACTGATAACACCTTAGAGGAAGCTCGAGTTTCAGCACAGAGGTGATATTGGTGTTATGAATACTGATGGACTTTGACGTTAGTTTTGAGCCTGTTTTCTCTTGACCCGTCTCTCTATGAATTCTCCACACTGCACTCTTATTGCACACTTTTCCTGTTCCCTCCTAGATACATGCTCACTGGCATGTGATAAAATTATCAGTGTACATGGAGGGTTTGTTTGTTTGTTTGTTTGTTTTTTTTTGGCTGAATTGCACTGACTGTGCAATTTCTAACATTACTGACAAGGTCTGTCTCTCTCTTAGAAGACGAGGAATCTTAAGGGCCTTAACTAAGAATTTAAAACCTGGATATGCTGTTGTCCTGATCATTTTTTTTTTTTTTCCTGATCATTTCTTTTTACTCACATCTTTTTTGGTAAATCAGGCCAGAGGGATTGTTTACCTTTTGAAAAAAAGAAACTAGATCCTGCAGTTTGTTTTGGTTACAAATATCCGGGCACCTGAATTTAGATTGAGCAGAAGATGCTGTCCTGGATAGTGGATGCTCTAGAAGCCAAGAGACCATATATGCTTCTTATATATATGGTGAAGGGTAACGACTCTCTTCTCTCCTTTGTGAGGAGAATGCCAGTCTCATTCATTTATGGCTTCCTTTTGGTTATCTTCTGAGATATGGCTACTGATTGTTTTAGATTCATCGTGTTTGAGTGACAGTTTTAGGGAAAGAGGGGGATATTTAGTTCCAAGACCTGGCAGTTTTTTATCATTTTAATAAATTCAGGTCTAATGACATGAGGAATAGTTAGTATTGGGCAGATCTACATGTAATACATTTTGTTAAGCATAAGTAGTAAAAAAAAACAAACCCTCTAAGTAGTTGTATAATACATTTTAGCAGCTGAAAATTTTGTGTGTTGTAAGAAACCAGAGAAACTAACTTCTGATTCATACAGAGCAAAAGAATTTAATATTCTAACTTCAGCAGAAGGCAACTAAAAGCAAACTTGAACCACTTTATGTGGTTTTCAGTACGTAGAAATATATTTTTTTCATCTTTCCTCATATGTTTTACTTCTTAGTCATTTACTTCCAGTAGTTTCCAAATTGGTTGAGGGAATTAAGGTGGTAACCAAGTTCCCTGTAGTACAAGATTTTCCTGCTGTGTATATGAACCACTTTTTCTGGAAAAACCCTTCTATTGGCAGTCTTTGTGAGGGCATGTACTTCTCTACACTTAGTGATTTGGGGGCTGAAGCCTGTGTTTAGTCAGAGATGACAAATGGCTGAAAAAAAATTTTTTTTCCAGTTTAGTGACAGAGAAATGATTCAGAATTGAAACTGAAGTGAGTGTGGAGTTACTAGCAGTTAACTCTTCTCCAGTTGCTGTCTGTTACTTGGAGGCATATTTTGAACATGTGGTTTTCATTTCGATATTCTGTGTTACGTTGCTAAATTTCTTGTCTGGTTTAGACACTGCATTTGGAAATTAGGTTGGAACTAGCTTTGAACAGAGGGCCACTAGAAATTGAACATTGTGGTCTCTTTGGGGAGGAGAAAAGTTGGCATATTTTTACTTAAAAGATTCTTAGGAAAGTTTTGATAACAATAATATATTTTCCAGATGTTATAAGCTTTTGGGGTTAAGTAGTTGTTGAGAAAACCAGGAAGCTTGTGAAAGTATTAGCCTTTTAAGTTAAAACTATCACTCAGTACTTTTTTCTTTTATAATTAAACAAAGATAAGTTTAAAAAATGTTCATTGTAAAGAGTCCATTTATAGAAATTTATGAAGGGAAAAGCAAAATGCTTCCTCCATTCCCGATTTTACTCTGTAGCTGTAACTACTGTTAACAGTTTGGTACATGTTCTTTCGTGTCTTTTTCAGAGCACATGCAAATATTTGTAGGTAGATTTCGGTGGTTTATTTTATTTTGTGCTGGTGCAGATTTTGTAATTCAGTCTCTTTACATATATAAAATTCTACTTTAATTTCCCCTACCCCCTTTTTTCTGTTAATTTTTTGAAATCTTAGTATTCATTTTCTTAATCATGTCTAGGACTTTAAAAATTCTTATATGGTTATTAATGCTTCATTATATGTAGTGTAAGTATTTTCTCTCATATAATTTGTCTTAACTTTTAACTTATGGTGTCTTTTGTTATTTAAAGATTTTATTTATTTATTTTTTTACATGTCTGTATTAAAAATATGGAACATTTCACAAATTTTCGTGTCATCCTTGTGCTGGGGTCATGCTAATCCTCTCTGTATCATTCCACTGGGACTCCTGGGTTTTATGGTATCCTCAGGAGTGTAGGTACCCATCTGAACAATAAAAATATTCTGTATTTTCTTCTAGGGCTTTGTAAATTTATTTTTAAGATTTAGGTTTTAAATGCACTTGGAATATATTTTCAGTATTATGTGAGATAAGGATATGGATTTTCAAAAAAAAAATTTTTTTTTTGGTAGCATTTGTCCTAATAGTTTATCACTTGTGTGCTTATTTGAAATGATCTTGTTAACACAGAATCTTATTTATTTAAAAAGATGTTATTTTTAAGTAATTTCTGCACCTGATGTAGGGCTTGAACTCACAACCCCAAGATCAAGAGTTGCATGCCCTACCTGCCAAACCAGCCGGGTGCCCCTTAAAATAGACTCTTGACAAAGGGTGCTTATCTGTGTACCTGTACTACGTGTTTTAATTATGGTCACTTTATAGAATGTTTTGGAATCTCTTTAACTATTACAGTTGATTCTCCTTCTCTTTTTAAAGTATTCTAATCATAATCATGTGCAAATGGTAATTTGGACTCTCCCAATGCTTATGCTCCTTTTTTAGTGACAATATTGAAGAGTAGTTATGGTGGTAATAATACCACCTAATACTGTGCTTCTCAACTTTATGTTTGTGTGCAGAAATTACCTGAGGGATCTTATTAAAATGCAGATTCAAGCAGTTGCGCTACTAGGTGTTTACCCAAAGAATATAGGAATACTAATTCAGAGGGACACATGCACCCCGATGTTTACTCAACGTTATCTACAATAGCCAAATTATGGAAACAGCCCAAGTGTCCATTGACTGATGAATGGATAAAGAAGATGTGTGTGTATTACACACACACACACACACACGCACGCGCACACACACACACACACACACACACACACCAGAATATTATTCCGCCATTAAAAAGAATGAAATCGTGCCATTCGCAGTGACATAGATGGAGCTAGAGGGTAAAAGGCTAAGAGAAATAAGCCAGAGAAAGACAAACCATATGGTTTCACTCATGTGGAATTTAAGAAACAAAACAAATGAGCAAAGGGAAAGAAGAGAGAAGGAAATCAAGAAACAGAAGACTCTTAACTATAGAGAACAAACTGCTGGTTGGGGGGGATGGGTGAACTAGGTGAAGGAGATTAAGGAGTGTGCTTGTGATGGGTGCTGCGTCTTGTATGTAGTTGTTGGATCACTGTATTGTACACCTGAAACTATTACACTTTAAGTAAAAATTTAAATAAAAACTTAGGGAAAAAAAGATGGCCTATCAGGAAAAATGCAGACTCAGTAGGTCTGGGGTGGGCTGAGAGTCTGCATTTCTGACAAGGCCCATGTGATTTTGATTTATACTTTTATAGACCTTTGAGTAACAGGGGGCTAATATTTGTTAAACACTTTATTCTAGTCACTGGTCTCAGTGCTTTATGTATATGCACTCAGTTAATCTTTTTTTTTTTTTTTTAAGATTTTATTTATTTATTTGACGGACAGAGATCACAAATAGGCAGAGAGGCAGGCAGAGAGGCGGGGGAGAAGCAGGCTCTCCGCTGAGCAGAGAGGGGCTCGATCCCAGGACCCCGGGACCACGACCTGAGCCGAAGGCAGAGGCTTTAACCCACTGAGCCACACAGGCGCCCCTGCACTCAGTTAATCTTAACTCTATGATGGTTATTTCCAAGTAGAGAAGCTGAGACTTGGAGAAGTTTATGACTTGCTCACAGCAACATTACCAGGAGGTAGAAGAGCCAGACCCAGCCCAGGCAGAGTTGGCACCTAAATCTCTTCAATGGATTTCCTTACTGATATTGGACATTATTTTCTCTTGTATGAGTCAATTGATAATACCTTTAGTTTTTGTTCTAAATTAATAGACTTCATTTTTTGAGCAGATTTATAAAAATTGAGCAGAAAGTACAGAGAATTCCAGGTATCCCCTTGCCCCCACATTTCCCCAAGTATTAACATCTTGTACTAGTGGGGTACCTTTGTTACAGTTGATGAGCCAGTATTGGTATGTTATCGTTAATTAAAGTTGTAGTTTACATTAAGGTCCACATTTATTTCGTATAGTTCTGAGGGTTTGGACAAATGCATGATGTCACGTATCTCCCATTAGAGTATCACACACAGTGGTTTAACTGCCTTCAGCATTTCCTGTGGTCCACCTAGTCATCTTCTTCCCTCCCTACCCCCCCACCCCCAGCCCCTGGCAAACACTTATCTTTTTGCCGGTTCCATAATTTTGCCTTTTCCAGAACGTGATATAGTTGGAATGGTACATTAGGCAGCCTCTTCAGACTGGCTACCTTCACTTAGCAATGTGCCTTTAAGATTCCTTCCCGTCTCTTTGTGGCTTGATAGCTCCATTCTTTCTATCACTGGGTAATATTCTGTTGTCTGGATGTACCCTAGTTTATCCACTTACCTACTGAAGAGCATCTGGATTGCTTCCAGGCTTTGGCAGTTACGAGTAAAGCTGCTGTGAAATGCACGTGCAGGTTTCAGCTCTCTGCGTAAATACAAAGGAGTGTGACTGTTGGATCGTGTGCTAAGAGTATGTTTAGTTCGGTAAGAGACCGCCAAACTTGTCTTCCAGGGTGGCTGTTTGGTCTTGCTTTCTTACCAGCAGTGAATGAGGGCCCCTGTCGCTCCCCATCTTCACTAGCTTTTGGTGTTGTCAGCTCTTTGGATTTTTGCCATTCTAATAGGGTGTAGTGGGATCTCACTGCGGTTTTAATTTGCGATTCCCCAGTGACATGGATGTGGAGTATCTTTTTGCATGTTTATTTCCTATCTGTGTGCATCTTTTTTGGTGAGGTTTAGATCTTTCCCCATTTTTTGATTGTCTCTGTGGTGGTTTGTTTTTTTAGTGTTGCGATTTAAGAGTTCTTAGAATATTTTGGATACCTGTCCTTAAATCAGATATATGGGTGGGGTTTTTTTTGTTGTTGTTGTTATTTTATTTTTTATTTATTTATTTTTAAAGATTTTATATATTTATTTGGCAGACAGAGATCACAAGTAGGCAGAGAGGCAGGCAGAGAGAGAGAGAGGAGGAAGCAGGCTCCCGGTCGAACAGAGAGTCCAATGCGGGGCTCGATCCCCGGACCCTGAGATCACGACCTGAGCCGAAGGCAGAGGCTCAACCCACTGAGCCACCCAGGCATCCGGAGTTGTTGTTTTTTTAAAATCGGTTATATGTTTTGCAAAGATTTTCTCCCAGATTTTGGCTGTCTGTATCTTTAGTTCCTACCATTAGGATGCTTGCCCCTCGGATTGTGACAGATAATTAACAAGTTAAGAAAAGTTTCTTTTTTTTTTTGTCTTTCTGAGAGCTTTTCTTCAGGAATGGTATTCAGGGAATCTTTGAAAATTATTTGGCTAAATAAATAAATGAAGCTTTGTTATTAGCAAGGCATGCCTGTTTTACTATGGATACTTAACAACACATTCCTTATGGTGCTGTATTTTAGAATGTAACTGAACTTTTTTTTTTTTTAAAGATTTTATTTATTTATTTGACGGATCACAAGTAGGCAGAGAGGCAGGCAGAGAGAGAGAGAGGAGGAAACAGGCTCCCTGCTGAGCAGAGAGCCCGATGCGGGGCTCGATCCCAAGTCTCTGGGATCATGACCTGAGCCGAAGGCAGAGGCTTTAACCCACTGAGCCACCCAGGTGTCCCCTGTAACTGAACATTTAATTCCAGATCCTTGTAAATAGTTTTCTCTTACTTCTTCCCTGATCTCTTGTTTCTCTAATGTTTACGTCGATTGCTTGTCCCACATCCTAATCTCATTCTGGCTTGATCTTCACTTTTGCTGTCTGTCTCTGCACTTGTCTGCGGCAGTCTATTCCTGGGGCTGGTCCCACTGCCACCTCTGAAATCATAAATTTGGAAAATTTGCTCTCTGAACACAATTTCCTGTCTTTTCAGTTCCGCCGTTTGCTGAACTTACTCTCCGATTTCACGGAGGCCTCCAGCCCCTTGAAATCTTACCTGTCTCCAAATGTGTGACATTCTTCCCAGCATCACTTTTGTCCACGTGGACATAGTTGGTTACTTTCAGTGAGTCAGAAGTATCCTCAGTTCTCCTGCACCTTTTTCTTCTGTCCCCCATGCCATGCCCATCTCCGGCTGCGGATTAACAATACTGCCCATTTTCATGTTCCTGCTTTAGGGCCTGAAGAAACGAGGGAATTGTGCTTATTTGTTCAGTTGGTAGCGCGTGAGTTCTGCCCTCATCTGTGCTTTTTATTCTTGTTAGTAGCCCTCTTACTTGCCTGTCGCTGATTTCTTTTCTCCTTCACCAAAATGACTATTCTTTCCTGATCTTTACCCATTTTTGGTGAGCTCACGTTTATGTCCCTCTATCACAGAAGACTCCGTGTCCAGTAAAGTGACCCCCCCCCCAAAAAAGGAAAACCAAGAAATCTGTTATTTCTTGTATCATAACTTCTGTTACTCAGATAAAGATAAAATTCCCAAGTTTCACATGCCCTTTCTTGTTGTCTGTCCTCTCTGAGCCCAGCTTCATTGGCCTTTTGTCAAATTCTTAACATGCCACACTAATGAGTAGCATGGGGTCTTTGTGTCCGTCCTGCCCTTTGCCAGACACTTTTTCTCTTTCGCTTTTTAATTCGTATGCATCTTTGGAACTTAATTTATATGTCATTTCCTCAAAGGAGCTTTACCTGACCTTCCATTTGTCTGAACACAGATTAGATTCACCCTAAAATAATTAATAGTAATGAGACTAACAACAACAATAATAGCACACATATGATGTTTATTGTGTGCCGGGCACTGTTCTGAGCGTGCGCGCGCGCTCTCTCTCTCTATATACATATATAGCCTTTTTTTTCTTTTAAGTCTTTACAGCACCCTCTGGGTTAGATAGATGGGGAAGTAAATAGGACCTATAATTGTCTCTATTTTATAGACAAGGAAACTGAAGTGCAGAGTGTTAAGTCACTTGTCCCAAGTCACATAACCCATTGGCAGAGGAGCTGGGATT